CCCCTCCCTCGAACAAGTACGCACTTCTTCCTCTCCTGGGTTTGTTGTTTTTTAATTCGTTGTATTAGGGATCTCGTCGCCCCTCCCTCGAACGAGTACGCACTTCGTCCTCTTCTGGGCGCTTGGCCCCTGGACGCGCGCCTCACAGAGTACCATCTGAAAAAAACTGCATCGACCCGTGTGCGGCCGGGGCGTCCACCTGCACACTTCTCTGTTTCTCGTTCAAAGTCCCCTCGTCCTTCCTCCTTTCGCAAACTGTCTCCTCGTCGGCGCTCTCCAACTCAGTCTATGGTTTCTTCCAGCAAACTGCCCTCCTCTCGTGGACGGTCTTCGTCACAGTCTCTGCCCAGGCATTCTGCTCAGCCAGATCGAACACCTTCTCCCGCTCCTAGTTCAAGCCGATCTCACTCTCGAAGTCCCTCACCTGTTCAACGCAGCAAATCTGGAGGCGGTGCGCGGTGCGCCAACCAACAAGCTAACCCCTCGAAGCTCGGCTTCTATCCAGCATCTTGGCAGGCCTTCCTGCAGGCAGCAAAGTTGGAAATGCGGTTGCAGGCAATTTTATTGCATCCTCTTCCAGTTCATCAGGAAGCGGGTAATACTGGCACAAGAGGTTTTGGGTGCTGTATTATGGACATACCACACGAAGAAGGTGAAGCTTGACAAAGGTAAGTTGCCCTGCACCGTCAGAAGTCGCTCCAATCTGATGTCCTTGCGAAGGTTATTTCCCAGAGTATAAAGTACCGATGTCGCGACTAGTAAGTACAGCGCCCAAACACGAACTTCGCTGATGATTCAACAGCTTTGTGACGACCTGTTCACCTTTCGCACGGAACTCAAGAAAATTGTAATATCTATTGCGAAGCAATCATACGGCATATTCTCGAAGGGCAACTCAGTGCACAAGGAGCGCGTCAGTGCAGCAGTGGCTAAGCTCCTCAAGACCGGTGAATATCTTCGGCTTCCCGACTCTTCTGAGGTCAGTGGCAACCTCGTGGTGCGCGACAATTCATTATTGACGTTTACAGGGAAAATATACCAATTTTGTGTCGCAGGTTCTCAAGGAAGCCTGCCTCAGTTTTTACTACGGTAACGGTAAAAAAGCGCTCAAGGTAACTGACGAATTTCAAGACGGAATTCCTGTCAATGGCCTTATTCTGGTGGCCGCAGTTGTAGGCTTTGATTTAATCAATTTTATATTCCTCGCTGATCAATGTTTTACAGACGAAGGGTGTTCTCACCGGCTTCCGCGACAGTGGTACTGACAAGGTGCCTGACCTTACTGCTGATACGTGCAGGGCCGACTTCAACTTGCTGCAAAAGTCTGTCGACAAATTGATGACCATTCCCGAACGTCGCGCGGAGCTTGAAGAGATGCTGAAGGAATGGGCCGAGGAGGGGATGATGGGTGAACTTCGCAATGACTGGGACAGTGCAGCGGGCAGTGATGATATCAATATCATCATTTAGTATATTTTTTTGCGCCGTTACAATGTCGTTTGCACAACATGTTTGATCTGTCTACAATAATCTAGTCTGCTTGCAATGTCCAGTCTGCCTACAATGTCCAATCTGCCTACAATGTCTGGTTTGTCTACACTGTCCGGTTTGTCTACATTGTCTAGTCTGTCCAATCTGTCTAGTCTGTCCAATCTGTCAATATTGTGCCTTTGTGTATGGATTGTAAGCCTTTGTGACAATATTGTAAAGAGGGCACTTAGCTGTAGGATTGTGCTGTTTGTACAAATCTGTACAAATCTGTACAAGGTTTTGCTAGTTTGCTGATGTGTTAAGGAGTCGCCAAATAGGCTTCTCTTCTTGTGTCGGCCGTGCTAATGATCGTGATGGCGCTGATGGTCGCTTCTCAACTGGGATATCCAGATAATCAAATACCTTAGGAAACCAGCTTTGTAACTGGCTGGTGATCTTGTGATAGGACCATCCACTATCGATGATAAATTGCTCAGGCCGGTGTAGAGACTCGATCCTGAGTAGCCTCACAATGGCATATATTGCACTGTAGGTCGAGTCTACAATACTATGCATGCAACGCGACACTAGCGCGATAAACGCGACGTTCGCGCGACGCGCGCGACTTAGGCGACACTTCCGCGACATAGGCGACACTTGCGCGACTTGCGCGCACTTTAGGCGAATTTTCCCGCGCCTAAGCGCTATAGGGCGCCTGACTTCCCACTGTGTTTTCCCATGTCCAACCAAGTTCCCAGGTATGCATTTCTCCATTTATCATTGATTTCAACATCGTACCATGTTTATTTTCACTTGGTACACATTTTTCATTACACATTTTTTACTTAACACAACACACATTACCACGGACCACCATCATGATAGACAGTCACCATCTCCGAGTTTTTATTATGTTTTGAATAAATCATCGCAAGCCCTAGTAGCAGTTAGCTCTAGTGGCCATATCCGCATCAGTTGTCTTATCAGCATCTCAGTGCACGTCTTAACATCTCACTATCGCTCGCATACCGCTTTCACCCAGTTCCGCTTTTCGACGCGCGACTTTCCCGCGCTTCGCGCGCCTATAGCGCCTTTGTTCCCACGCTTTCGCCTTATCACGCGCTTTGCGCATTCCCCCTAGAGTTGACCAGTGGATATTTGCTTTCTCCGCTTCCCCTAAGGGACGAACATATCGCACTCATATTTTCCTCCCTTCAACAATTATATCAGCTGCACCCTCAGCTGAGTTGAAGATCCTTCACCGGTCAAGGTAACAGCCCCGGTTCTTCATAGCCTGTATTTCATTTCGGCCATTCTTGCTTGGGGCCTTAGGCACTCTGATGAGACCGTTTCTCTGGAAAATGCTATGAATCAGTGGGTTTAGTAGACTATTAATTGTCTTTGACTAACATCGACACCACAAGTCAATAGAGCAATTGATGCGACACAAAAAGTGTTAGCTCTGGTCATGGAAAGGTTAGACGTAGTGCTCCTGCGTGCTTGGCTTCCAATTTTACTAGGTTGCAGTGAGCCACTCATAGTATCCTTGCGATCCTAGAAGCAACTTCAGTACTAATCTTCATGCACTAGCCGATGATCCCGTACCTTTCGCAAGCCAGCCAACGACACTGGGCCCTTAGCCAGTTTACTGTAACCAGCAAGTCGGGTGGAAGAAAGAGTTGATAAGGCTTCCTCTCGGGCATTGGCGAGTGGTATGCCGGCTTCAGTGAGTCGCTTGGTGGTGGACAACTTTTCATTGATGCTTTTGCCACCACTAGCGATTCGGTCAAAAATATTCTTGACGACAGCTGAGGGATTTCCAAGTCGGTGAGGCTGTTCATCCTCTTGGACTTCCAGTGGTTTGCCACTCCGAGTCGATGCCTTGCGAGGGTGTTTGCTGCGACCGTGACCACACTCCACACAGTGGCCTTCATCCTGCGACCGAGCAAAGAATTCCTCGCAGCCGCACACTTGACTGTCAGATTTGGAACCTCTACAGAAGTGCTCCCGATCCATAGCGTTGCTCTCGGAATCCATGCAGAGCAATAGCACTAGTGGGAGAAGGTAGAGAAAGACTTCACACAGAAGAGGAGACAAGAGACAGAAACGACTCGGACCTGAAGAGGATGGTTAACAGGTACTAGATAGTGCGGTTTATATTTAAAGTTTAAAACCTATGACATTCTGCCTGCCTTCTGGTTGACGTATTGTCCGAGTAAGTATTTCAAGAGTAATAACTACTACGACTCTCATAAGTTTAAGTTACTCTTGCCCAGCCGCTAAAAAGTATGACAACACTAGTAACGCCTGACACCATAGCCTTGCCCGGTTGAACCAGCTCGGTTCAGCGAGAGACACATGTAGTTCTTTCGACCCTCGTCGGCCAACAGGGATAGCCTCGAAGATCGGATACTCATCACCTTCCCACTCATTTGCTGCTAGCCTGCAGTCGCACGGTGTTATATCCTCGGCTATGACTTCAATAAGGGTGGCAGAGAATTGCTGGCGTGTTCATCGTTGATGAAAGGATCGATTTGCGATGGAACGCTGATAGCTTCGTGGTGGATATGATGTCGTTGTTGATCATTGATAGTCTGTACCATATGTAGAGGCTCCTCTTCATTATCACTTTCTTCTTCGTCAATTGGATGCCCCGCTCCACTCTGATGTTGTCGTCGAGTCGTAGTAGGGCCATGTACCCCGTAGTGTTCTTCAATCACGTCAGGGTGGACTCCTTCACAGTCGTCTCGATACACGCCAAACTGCATTTGACCTAAAAAACGTAAATCCTGGGTCACAATGAGATAATTTGTCAGGGTCACATAAATGTAAAACGACGCATTTACCTTAGGGCTCTTATCATTTGTATCAGGACCACGTATCGGATGACAGTTCCATTCCGCCCAGAAATCCGAACAATCTTGATTGATTTCATCGAGGAACAGAGTCTGGAGCAACCAGATATGACTAGGGCTGTGAGGGTTGAGCCCGTGATGGTTTTCAAGTCGAGTGAAAAATGCTCTCCACCTCCTAGCAAACTGCGTGCCAACTTCAACCCATAGACGCTCGATCCACGAATTCCGTGTAGAACTTGTCCAGAATTAGTACCTAACACAAAGCTGCAGAACAAACACATTACGACTCACGATCCCCACATGAAGGACGCACGACGTGGTCCATTCCGCATTATCATATATGTTGCAACATCGAGGTTCTCTCCTCCACGATCGCCTCGCACACGAGAAGGTGTTCCGAAGTTTTGCATTGCGTGAATGAACAGTTCCAAAACTGTGCTGGAGCGATTGTCGTTACTTGCTCTCAGTCCCGTTATCTAATAGACATATAAATTAGAGTCAGTAATCAACGCAAATGCGTTAAAAAACACATCGCACCGTTCTACAAAACCCGTCAATAAAGCCATGAATCACGATCCCCCATTGAATTAACTTATGGTGGCCATCTACATGCCATAACGCATTGGGGCGCTTCACATGGTATTTCCGTCGACGTTTGACCTGTCGATCTCGCAGGACTTGGCCTAAGCCGTCAACCCTGCGAAGCGACTCTACTACTCGTCGATGTTGCACCCGGAGACCATGTCTGCGAAGATACCCAACAATGTACCGGATACCTGAATCGGGTCGCTTTTTCTTGAACTCCTTGATGAGGAGATCAAGATCAGTATTGGTAAGAGTGGAGTACTTTCTTTCAACTCCATGGCGCTTCATATAGAGTCGCAGCGTGTTTCTGTGGACTCCTAGCGTTTTGGCAAGTTCCGTAAGTCTAATTTGACGTGAATTCGAGACCGCTTCAGAAAGGAACGCAATGTCGATGAATTTTTTTGGACGGCCTGGACGACCTGTATGCAGCAGTGAGACTGGTTCTGGAAACGCAACGTTGGTGTCCATTCTGGGATTCACGCATAGTCAACAATCATTCAAAATGAGATAATACGACTCACGAATTTCGAGTATTGTGTCGAAACGACGACAATTGAACAGAGAGATCTCCTAGCGAGGTTGCTGCACAAGTCAGCCAATCATGCATCTCATGTCCCTGCGGGTCATGTGCAAGGGCTTGAAGCAGGGGTATAGCGTCTCCAGATACAGCCTCTAAGTGAAACGTAAGTTGAAGGGGGTCAGCGTCTTCTTGATGCAGAATACGATAGGCACGTCGGTAGATATCTGACAATGTATCATGAGCCGTAAGAAAATTTGCTGACCATGGAGCTTGAGTTGGCATGCGAGATGGAAATGGCGGAAACGCCTGTGGTGGTATAGGCATTACAATCACTGCAGAAATGAGATTTAGAGCATTCAATAGAATGATAGAGTAGCGTACAATGACAATGTATCAAACCCGTGAGAAACATGGTCAGCGGTCACAAACATAGGCAGTCAAACTATAGTTTGACTGCCTTCGTCTAATTTCAACGTCCTGCTAATATGTCGACAGAGTCTGTTGTACCAACTCGACACCCAATCTATTACTTTAATGCGTCCAGCCACATCTTCCAGGTGAGTTTTATTCATCTATCAAATTATCATACTAATTTGAAAACTTTCCATTGACAGGTAGAGAATACACTATACAAACTCTGCAGTTCAATCTTATCCGCGTCTTCCAATGTCTTTCATGATATGTTTTCTACCATGGAGAATTCTAGGCAACCAGAAGTAGATGGCATGTGTGATGATAAACCAATTCACCTTAACGGAATATCTCGGGAGACGTTTGAGTTGTTCCTTGAATTCACGTTTGGAAGGTATGTTGATATTTTATGTTTTTAGTCAGTAACTGAACCATTTGTCATGGTAGAATGCGTACCGGATCTCATAGCATTGATGAACTCTCGAAATTTCTCCATTTCTGCGAATGTATCAATGCTCCCATGCACGCGAATTCGTTATTTCCCGCATATCTTCTGCACATTACTGTTTCCACCCAGCTAAGTTAATCAACCTCGCCATCAAATACCACATCCGCTCCATCTTTCCATA